GCTCTGTTATTTGCTTGAAAGCTTTGTGTCCCTGCTTTGTGTCCCTATCTGTTCTAAAGCTCACTTCTAACAAATAAGTCTATTTTATCCTTACATTTATGTTCGACAACCCATGCTCTTATGGAGCCCCGAAGGCTAGCTAGGCAGATAGCATTAGCGAGAGCTATTGTTTGCTAACACCATATGTGCCATTGTTTACGTTCAGTTTGTCTTTTCTATAGTTGTTGTTGCTATTTATAGTATTGTGCTGCAGTAGTTTGTGGAATTTACAAGTCATGTTTCTGTTCTAGATGATTACATTGGGACTAGCGAGGAGGAACAGTTCCGAACAACGTCCTCTGCATCAACAGCACAAACCGAGGAGGAGGATCTGGCCCTGCAGGAACGGCAACTGGCCCAGCAGAATCAATGCCATGTCTTATCTTATTGCTTGTTGATAAATAATTGCACCCACCAGCGATCACACAGAAAGATGGCATCATCTAGGCGTCCCTCTGCAGTCAGAAATATCATAAACACCATCGTCCACAAAGCACTGTACAGGGGTTTATGGATTTAAGAGAATACTTATCACAGTGAAACCTTTATCATCTGTTGCAATTAAAGCAAATAAGAGAATAAATACTTGGTTAAATAATACATTTTAACTCTTTAGCAGGACAACTCTGCATACTGTTTGAAATTGAGTTTGCTAGCTTGAGGTCCTCCTCTAAAACATAACATTACATAATGGTATTAAGAATACATGATAAATACATGTAGTAAAAATTACTCAATTGTAATACCCTCGTTGTGCTAGACTCAAACACATTGCTTATATATTTCAAAGAGAAGAGAACAAAAGAAAACACCTATACAAAGAGAGCGGTGCACAGCGCTTAATATTTACTTGCACTATATTTCTGTTGATCTGGGTTATTGTGTTGCACTGTTGGAGGAGCCTGTGACCTAAGATGTTCATTGTCATAACTACACTAGCTATGTTCGTATGACAAAATAAAAAACCTTGAACCTTGAGGCTGTGTCTTTCAGACAAACCATCATAATCATATTATTTTATGCTGTGGATACTTTAGCCTCCATCCATGTTAACAATTTTTTACACTTGCATTTATGAATATAGTTCTGTTGTGTTTTACACTTTTGTATTTATGTTTATAGTTTGCTTTGATATTTGCTTAATTTATTAGATTATTATTATTATGGGGGCAGTACTGGTGCTTGAAATTCAAATATTTACTAAATAGTCAATTCTGATAACATTTTTTTGGTTTAAATAATTTGACAAACACATGTATGTGAAAAAGAAAAGATGTATTTATGTTCAATACAATACAATGAATATTTAGGTATTACATTATACATTCTAGGTATTCAGGTAGCGCATCAGACCCTCTCGTATGTCCCTGCCCTCCTCTGCTACCCCTGGTAGACGTAGGTTTTCCTCAGGCATCCTGAAGTTCTCCACCCACTGAGTGTGTGAAAGATGGAACAATCACATTCCACCACTCGGTAGCTCGGTCGGTAACTTCTGAAATACACAAAAAAAGCATACATATTTTAATACGTAAAAGTGGTAGCTACAATTAATTAAATACTTGAAATACTTTGGTCGTATAGGGAGCGTGAGCCTAAACACATTGCTAGTTAGCGAACGTTAGCTTACCAAGTAGCATTGTAGTTAGTAATGATTCGAGTCGTCCTGTAGTCTCTGCGGCGTAGGTGGACTGCCCGAACTCTCGCGCCAGCTTCTTCTATACCTCGTCTTGCTATACGTCGCCTCTTTCGAAACAACTCTTGTCTATTTCTTGTGATAATAAACCACACAGCAAAAAACAAGCAAACGATCGCTTTCACATCTTCACATCCTCCATTGTTGTGTCGCATTGAAGATGACGTCACGGCAGTTTTAAGCAGCGTCGCTCCGCCTACACTGCGTTACTATAGATACTACCCCAGTTCCTAAACTGTAATGGAAATGCGCCATAAAGTGAGCTGGTCCTAACGAGGCCAATCGCGGCCCAGCCATACCGAGCGGGGCCGAGCGAGGCCGTGTAGTGGAAACGCGCCATTAGTGCCAAATTGTCTCAGACAATCTGCATTTCCTAATGTGGGACAGTTCTGTGCAAAATGTGGGACACTGAAAAGTCTATGTTAAAAAGCCTCAGTCACCTTAATTCATGTAATAAAAACATCTCAGGTCAGTAACACTGAAAGCTAAATGTGCAATACCATGTTCAGCTATGTTACTATTTATAATGTTATTGGTGTTACAACAGAATATGTTTTTCTTTATATTGAAGTTAAATGCATCAATCTGTGACACTTTTATTTTGTAAGATAGCAAGGGGGGGCATATTGTGATAACCAGGCCTGTCATAAAATGCACCCCACCCAAAAAGATGTTTGTATTAATCCCACCCTCAAGCATTTTTCAGGACTAGTACCAATGAATGGAGCAAGTTTCATGAATGTGACACTTTTATTTTGTAAGATAGCAAGGGGTGCATAACGTGGCAAAATTATGCTGACAAAGACTATGTAACATTTGTAAACATATATTTTGATTATTATATGACAAATATGTAGAATTAAACAATACATTTTAAAGCACGCGGAGGCTATACAGACAGGACGTAACAATAATAACAACAAAAAAAAGATTACAAAAAAAAAAAAACTGAAAAGGAAGTGACGAATGAATTTCGACACCACTACCATCAAATACGGAGCGAAAAGTTTAACCACAAGAATCAAGACTATATGAGCTACCACTAAACAACTCACAGTCTGAAAATTACCATTAATAAAAACCCTGAACGTTTACTTTTCGTTTTAAACATCGTTTTAAGGTGTAAACGTGTCATTTAGGAACTGCGACAGCATAAATATGCGAACACAAACCTACAGACTGCTGGAGAAGAGATATCACAGGGGGGGGTTGGGACACACACATTCCGATGGCCAATTAGTTTTAAACAAAGAGTATACTCAACATAGGCCTACAGTAGGCAGGGGGGTGGGGGCTGGTGAACGGTATGGTCAATGTTTGTAAACACTGTGACATTTTGACTTTATTTGATCATTTCAGTTAAAAACTAACGTTCATATTTCTCTTTTTGAGAAGAGCAATATGAATATGTTAGTGGCTGACCCAGCCCCATGGTCTGTCACAGTAGTGCGGGAAAGAGAAGTGCACTGTTTTGCCTGGCTGGACCTGTAATTTACAGGAAAGGAGTGCGCGCTACTAAAGAGACGCGCTACCATGGAAACCAAACAATGGTGTCGCTGTATTGAAGTCCGAGTGGAAACAGTAGCATTTGGAGCGTTATGTTTGAATGAAACAGCCAGGTCGTGACTCACAAAAAAAAATGTTACTTCACTAACTGTAAGCTTGTCACTCAGAGTAACCTACAGTTAACTTAACTGCTGGAGAATAAAGATCGGGGGGGGGGGGGGGTCAGCTGTGGCTGATGGGCCATTAGGTGTGTAAACACACAGCTGAGAGCTGCCGTTTCAGACTGTTTAAAAAACGGTAACAACGGACAATTTTTCTTAGCGGAAGCATGTCAATTTAAATCAATACATACAACTATTTTTTAAATCAATAAAAACATTTTCTAAATCCTTAAAAGCATTTCAATTCATATTGGGAGTCATGTCGTTACTTTGTTGAGAATGTGGCCATGTAATAAGCGGGATAATTTGCAGCGACTTGGTCATTGTGGGGAAAAATAACACCCAGGGATCAAGATCCCTCCGCTACGCGTCGGGATCCTGATCTGCCTGACAAGGCTCCATTAAAATATAAATATTTTTAGTGAATTACTGAGTTTAGGCACGTTAATAACGTTTTAATGAAGTTGAATACAGAATATTCATATTTGTCAGTGATTTCATGTCAATTCGGCGAACATAAACATAAATGATCGTGGTGAAGATGATGATTAAATTAGGATTAAAAATCGAGAGCCGGCTGCATTTCCTCTCGTTCGTTTTTTTCGACTAAACAACATTATTTTGTTAAATAACAACATGGTGATGTTTTGTAAATGACATGTCTTATTTAGCACAGACTATGATCCTATCTGTGACATATGGATCTTAACAAAGATCCGCTATACAGTAGTACCAGACATACTGTACATCCAGCTTACTGTATCGAAGTTGATTTCACATGAGCTCCAGTGTGGAACCCCACTGCACCCCCTGGTGGATCAATGATCCATTGCAGCTGGCTTCACAATAATTACATTTATTTATCACGGGGGCGGTCTCAAGTCAGACTGGAGGCTGTCTCTTATCGCGGGCAGATCACGGGCCGATCACGGGCCGACCACGGCCCTCGCGTTTCAAACTGTCCTAAATTAGCTGCTACATCTGTACTTGTGTTCCGAGTCTTTGCTCCAAAAGTTTCATTACACTATGTACTGTTGATTTCCATGAATTGCAAACGACCTGCAGTCAACATGTGGATGTGTCCTTGGGCAAGATACTGAACCCGGAGTTGCCCCCGATGGCCAACGGTGTGTGAGTGTGTGTGAGTGTTAGCTTCCCTAGAGCATTTGGCACTTGTCTGCATGATGAGGTGTGAAAGGATGAATGATTAAAGTGTGTTAAAGTGCGTTAATGGTTCGTAAAGACCTGATAAAGCCCTATATAAGTAGAGTCCATTTAAGTCCACCCTGTTATGCTTATTCTTAATGGAAACTGATCATTTTTGGTAAAATATTGTTCATCTTTAATATTATTAATATTTAATGTATCAAATATATTTTTCTGTTTTACTTCCCCAAGTGCTAGCTTGATTATCGTCACACAAGTAGCAATACCAAAGTTTAGCATAACACGTCCAGCCTGTTACTATTTTTCCCAGTAACAGTAATACTACATTTTGACCATAATGTCATAAGCTGGACCAAAATATTGACTTTAACAAGGTATAGATTGACTTTAACAAGGTATAGATTTATGATGATGATTTGATACTTTTTTTGTAGGACAATAGTGCCTTGGAAGGTCTTCCGTCAGTGCCTCCATGAAGTACATCCCATCAGCTCGGGTCTGGAGGCCATGGCCCTCAAATCCACCATCGACCTCACCTGCAACGACTACATCTCTGTCTTTGAGTTTGACATTTTCACACGCCTCTTCCAGGTTGGTCATACTAAACTAAGGATCCTACATTGATATGTTATTGTTTCACACACATAACATATCTCTGTACTAGTGATTTATACTGTTTTCAGATCATAAAAGGTTTGGGCATTTGCATGCGGTTCCTCTAGTTTGTTGTTTTGTTTTGCACACTTCTAACAAGCCAGACATATGCTGTCAAATTACCGATAGAAATGTGGCTCTTAATTGTAATGTTTGACTTTGCAATTTGTTTTTAATGTTTTATGATAATAGGAGGAACAGAAAAAACCTGGAAACACAATGCTTAAAAATGTTGGTGTCTTCATTACATGTGTTCCAATCCACTCGCAATTTTAACATAAGAAAAAGATGCAAAGCCTATCAGATCATATAATGAAATTATAATGATGTACCTTTATGTGTGTGTATCTAAGTTTCAATTATTTTGCCAACCCGAGAAAGTGAAGTTTTTTTGTACCACTGATTCTGTAGAAAACTGTAAAATCTCAGTCCCCCCAGCCAGACTCTGGTTAGCGTCTGGTGAAAGCTAGGGCAAACATATTTAATGTGGCTTTGACTTCTTTAAGACCTTAACATTTTCTCGGGAACATTTGCACTCATGGTGCATGGACTGTAGCGCGGCGACCGTGCTACTGCAAATCTGCTTGGACTAGATATATTGTGAAAATATCTGACTGTGCACTTAAGCGCAAACTTTGTAGGATCTACTCCAAATACTGCTTGAGTTTGAAGACAGCAGAAGTATCTGACAGTGGATAGTTTTGGTTAGTTTAGTCAGGTGTAGTCTTTTATCCAATTGGAATCCAGATGTCAGCCTTATGCTGCTGAGGAGTCCTGATGGGAGGCAGGTCTGGGATCAGAGGGCCAGCATTCATTTCATTTCAAACCTTTATTTATCCAGGTTGTATCCCATTGAGATCATTGACCTCTTTTTCAAGGGAGACCTGCTCAAGTAGGTTCCACATGAAACATTAAAAACATAAACAGAACAACAAAAGGACATCATACATTAGCATTACAGGGATTACAATTTACATAACTATCCACATGCACAGGTACCAACAGCTTCCGATTGAGTAGCATCCAACCGAGCTTTAAAAACATTGAGTGGCACCAGATTGCTCAGTTTCCATTTTAATTGCAGACTATTCCAGGACAGTGGAGCTGCGCATCTAAATGCTATCTTCCCTAAGACAGTCCTAAGCATGAAAGTGAGAATGACTGGGTGAAGAAAGTAGGAAACTTTCTGACAATTCATCATGATTATGTACTGCAATCCTCTCAGGAGACATCTTCGCCGTTGGGAAAGGTCTTGTATTGTAAAACTACAGCTGTTGCTGTGCTTTTTCAGTGGTGTGTGCATAATGTGTTTACTAGCTGTAGGTCATTAAATTGCTGCTGCTTTCATGCACATGTGATCTCCTTCCTCTTTGGGCCATTATCCAGTTTACAGCTCAAATCAACAACAGAGTGGTCAGGCCCGGAGACAGTTCCAGTACCCATTAGGTTTTATTTCCTCTGCCAAACCAGCTACTAAGTGAGGGAAAGCCGATCCTTGTCCCTGGGGAGTTTCAGCTAACAGGCAGGATGGTGGAGAAAGTGTCGGCTACCTTTGAGTCAATTGGCCCACTTTCCCTGAAGTCCTCCCAACACAATGACCCACAGCTTTATGCTCTTAAGTAAGGCATCTGATGTGAACAGCTTATCTGTCAATGGCAATATTCTTTTTTTTAATATCTACATATTAATGCAGAATATTTGGATTCAGACAATTTAGGATTGGATTCTGTCATTCAGAAAAAAAACATTCGAGCTGGCAGGTGAGGAAATGCAGAGGCTTGGCTGTGCAGATTGTAGTCAGATGTCGAGTTCTCTTAGAGTTCTATTTAGTCTTTCCTGCTAAGCAGTCAAGTAAACATCCTTTAATGTTATCTAGTTCTCTTTTTGACCTCTGTTTAATTTGTTCTGCAGAAAACCTAAACTAGTTAAATTGATCCAAACACTACTGGCTATAGTGCCCAAGCTGCTCCCGAAATGCTTATCTTGCTAGACATAATGAACCTCAGACTCTGAATCCTCTCTTATTCAGTTAATATTTGTAATCATTTGACGGCAGCCAAATAATTCAGTTTCAGTGTCAACATACTATAAAATTAATATGTATCTCTTATACAGGCCCATTTCCACGACTGGTAATGACTTGTGCTTTAAGCATGGATAATAAATGTACAGTTGATATTATTATTTTTAGGTAAATCAACATTTGGATTGTGTTTTTCAGCCATGGGGATCAATTCTGAGGAACTGGAACTTCCTGGCAGTGACGCACCCCGGCTACATGGCTTTCCTTACCTATGATGAAGTTAAAGCCAGACTGCACAAGTACATCAACAAGCCTGGCAGGTATGGTGACTGTGTGTGTACAGTATTTTAAATGTTTTTTTTATTTTTCTGGCAGAAAAGCGCAAGCAGTTCGCTTCATCAAAAAATCCATCTCTGTAAAGTTCCGAGATATTCAGCTTGAAGCCTTCCGAGTGGCTGCATGCTGAGCGGTCTAATTATGGCGCATTTCCACTACAGCGTGGTTTAAGCGTGCCGTGCCGTGCCCGGCCCGTTTTGGGTTGTGTTTCCACTAGGCGTACTAGTTCCGGCTAGCGGGTACTTTTTCACAGTTTTCTGGCTCTCCAAAATCGAGGTTCTTTCCGGGCCAACAACCGGGCTGAGTATGCTAAACTAGTGAGAGAATCGCTGGCAACTACAACAAAATGAACATATTTTACTGTGATTTAATTGTAATACACGTTTCAAAATGATACCGAAGTAAGAATACTGATACCGGTTAGTAAAAACCATGAATTAATGCTTTGACAAGTCTGCAGACAGACGGCAGGGGAAAAACCTTTTAAAATGTGTGTTTTCTGAATGGAGATTGGCTAAGCTAACGTTGTATATGCTCCGACCGTCCAAACTCACAACAACGGCCTATACAGACATAAATAAAGCAGCGACTGTATTCACCATGACACAGACAGTCTGTGGTTTGTTTAAAAGAAATTAAAAGAAAACGCTGGCGCTCTGAAAAGACGATATGCAAACTCAGCCAAAGTCATTATTTGAATGATGGTATAATAACTTGATTTAGAATAGGGTTTTTTCATAACTATATGTTGGTATGCAGGTGATGTAAAACAATGGAAACTCTATGCTTTACCCTGATTGAGTATTAATATACCTGATGTGTTAGGCCGTCTTAGTCCTGAAGTCACTGGAACTTTGGTTTGCTGACACATTAGCCATTGAGTCTTTTTTTATTTCACTGGCGAATGAATATAAGATGGACCTAATGGACAGACAACCCATTTTTACACATGCAATGTAACCCTTAATTACCTTGACATGATCCAAAGGGGATTTATGTGAGAACGCAAATGTCCATTCACACTGAACTTCAAATATACCCCTTTTCAACTAAAATGAGCTCTGTTTAAGGTCATTGCTGAGGCTCGTGTTGAATCAGAGTTGGTTTAACTTGTTCGGCCCTCTAAGAACCCGTTTGCTTTTCCACTGACTAGAGCCCAGGAGGAGCCTGGCATGATGTCACTGTGTACAATGCTGTTTTTCTCAGGCCTCACAGATATCCCTCATAACAACTATGGCTGACTGTGTCAGAGTTGTGCCCATGTCGTTCTAATTACTTAGACAGCCAGATCAAATTGCGAGCACAATTTTTACTCTCCCAGAACCACTCTCTAGTTATCATTGTACTTATCATTAACTGCAGTTCTTTGTCTAAATCCCGCCCCAGCCTCTGATGTAAGCCACCAACATATCCACCGGCAATTGAACCAATTTTCATGTCTGAGGGTCCATGCCTCTGCAATAGAAATATGTTACAGGGGACATCATTAATTTGAAACTTCCCTTCCTTTTCTTACCCACTATCACTTACAAAAGATAACATCCATCCATCCATCCATCTTCTCCCGCTTATCCGTGGTCGGGTCGCGGAGGTAACAGTTCCAAAAAACTATCTAAATAGACTATATTTGCTTCAAAATTGTGAAAACAGACAATAGGATTTATTTTTTTGTAGAAAAAAAAACAGTGAATTGGTTGTGCCCATATTTTTTTTAATAAGTTTGTTTTTTGGTGTGGTTTGATGAGATTTGATTTGCTTTTGATTGATTGAACCTGGTGTCTTGAATCAACATATTCTGATTTGGTTTTTGAATTAAATTCTGAAAATGTGTGACATAAACTGTTTCCTATTTCCTATTTCATGATAGAAATATTGAATTTACACAAAAAGAACTCTCTTGGGCAAATAATAAAATGCTTTGTCCATAAGTTGGCTGATTTAGAAAATGTTTTTTCAAAGCCTTTGACTAAAATCACCTTCTGCGAGGATCTAAGAAGTCTGGCTTTGTTTCTCTTGATTTACCTAAGCCCCTGCAGCTTTCCTGTGGTACTGAGCACAGTTCTACTGCTCAGCCAGGTCAGGACCTTCAGGATCACATTTTCATTGATATACTATAACCATTGATATTCTCTGTTTGCACATGTGCTCATGACACTTTTACAGCATTGGTTGCTGATGCAAATAGCCATAAAGCTCAGACTCAAAGGCAGCAGAAATCAGCCAGAAATAAATACTGTTTATGAATTTGCCCAATTTGCACATGGGATTATACTAGTCATAAACGGGTCCTGCTTGGCTGTCACACCTCTGAGCCTTCATCTCACAAACTTTCCCAAAGCTACTTATTACTACTTTATCATTTCAAAAACACTTCATCACCTTGTGTTTGGTGTTGTCAATAGCTTGATAATAGCTTGAGAATAGCTTGAGAGATATATATTTTTATAAAACAGTTCTTAATAATACTTTGCCTTGTCTTTGTCTGATTCTATATCCTGGAGCTGAGCTCTGCATGCCTTGTGTTTAGTGTGGCAACATGTAGAGCTGAGCAAGTAATGACAGGACAAGTAATGTGTGGAGGAGGGCTGACACACACACACACACACTAACAATTAGTTAATTTAGGACTAGTCAACGTTTGATAAGGATGTTATAGTGTTTACATTTCTTTAAAAACATAGATTGTTTTTATTATAAGCTGATTTCACTGGGAACTCGGTATTCTGAGATATGTTGGGTTTTGTTGTTTTGGTTTCCAGCTTGTGTCTGACCAACCTTGGGTCCTCTCTAACAGTTACATCTTCAGACTGAGCTGCACTCGGCTGGGTCAGTGGGCCATCGGCTACGTGACCAATGATGGCAACATACTGCAGACCATCCCCCACAACAAGCCGCTGTTCCAGGCTCTCATCGATGGCTACAGGGAGTGCTTGTATGCCACCTATCACACACACTCTCTCCCTCTTTAGCTCTCCGCTGTGTATGAGCAACGATCACCTGCGTCTCCATCAGTCTCATCTGATTTCCTAAATGTTTCACTCTCATAGTGCCTCTTGAAGGTTCTTAACCTGTTAAGCCCGAGAGGACCCTAATCCGGGTGCGGCGGGTAGTTCTTTTCACGAAACTGTGTCTCAGGGCTTCTTAATATTTAAAAACCTATTAATGTGTCATACCACATTAACGAGAAGAAACTAAGCTAACTGACGATACGAACCATTTTTACCAAAACAAAACACAAGTCTCATAAGAAGCGTGACCCCTGAGCGAAAAAATGCTAACGCACTTGGCACAGAAATCAAGGTAAAGATACCCTTATTACTTATCGTAACTGCACATACAAGATATCCGATTAAAGCTGAGATTCCACAGATTATATAGGTATAGTATCATCACTGAGCGATCAGAACTCGCGACAGGGGAAGCAAACACAGACATCACAACACGTAGCATTACGGAGCAAACACGGGAGATCGTCTCACCTTAGCTGTTATTCTGATCAAAAGTCATGTTCAACAGCATTAAAACGATAAAAACGCTGCTGAGGGTTAAGCCATAGGTTAATTCAATGTGTCTGTCACTTTGAAAAAATTATTGATAATCCATAATTCCATTTTTATGTAAAAATCGGAGAATAAATATTAGCTGCTAATGGTAGCCACCAGAGTGTATGCAGCTTCCGGTTTTGGCTACGCGTCACTCTCACTCCTTATTTGGTAACGTGTGTGTGTATGTGGAACTCCCTCTCGATTCTATTGGCTCTAGCGGTTAAAAAGAGATGTCAATCATCAAAATCGACCAAGGGGGGCCAGAGATAGGTCAAATCCACCCAAATGACCCCAGAAGTGTTTTTTTTGTTGCTAAATCTCTCTAAAATCTATCAATCTTGATACAGGGTACTTATTATATGTTATAGTTTGGATTCCTAAAGCTTTTAGTCTACCATCCGTTCAAGGGTGGTTTTCACTATAAGTAATTTTGTTTTTTGGACGGACACTATAATTTACATTTTTTTACTGTGTTCAATCTGAATTTACTTTAAAATAAAAACATCTATATTGATTCTGACACTTCTACATCCAACTCACAGATGTAACCTTGCTTTGAGAAAAAAGATGATTAATTTACCCCTTTTATAAGTGAAGATACGGTCATTTGTTCTGGGAATGTCATTTTCGAGCCTGAGACCTGAAAAACAGGCTCAGGGCTTAACATAGGGTGACCAGACGTCCCCGTTTTCCGGGGACAGTCCCCGTTTGTATTGGCCTGTCCCCGGTTGAAACTGTCCCAGGAAATGTCCCCGTTTTTTAATATAAGTTAAAAACACATAGCAAGGTGAAATTGTTTGTTTGTAGCCTTTATTTAACCAGGTGAAAATCCCATTGAGATCAACGATCTCTTTTTCAAGGGAGACCTGCAGCACATTGGTTACACATAAAACAACAGAAAACAAAAAGGACATCATACAACATAATTACAGGGGTATGAATTAGCAACCTATTCACAATGACAGATATCTAATAACATTTCATCCAGCCGCGCTTTAAAATGATGCAAGGGAACCAAAATGCTCAGTTTCAATTTTTTTTGTATAGTGTTCCAAGCTAGAGGAGCAGCGCACATAAAAGCTTTAGTACCTAAAACAGTCCTAGCACTTGGCACATGTAATAAAAACACATCCTGGGATCTCAGGCAATAGCTACTTGCCACTCTCTGTGAAATCAGAGAGCAGATATAAGTTGGTAGTTTAACCAACATGGCTTTATAGGTTAACATGTACCAACTAGAGAATGCAATTCCTGAAGAAATTGCTAGTGGGAATGCTTTATGCTGAAAAGCTGACGCTAAACTGCTATGCTGAAATGTAATGTGTAAGAAGAAAGTGAAGAATTTAGATTGAAATGATACATGGACACTGGAGGCTTGAATGTGTGATGAGTGAAGAAAATAAAGTAAAAAGTCTTGGAAAAGCAGCAGAATATTTGAACTGCAAACTTTTGAACTAACTTGAATGGTGAATTATCGTGTCGCCATGGCAACTCATGGTGTTGATATATAGAGAGAGAGAGAGAGAGAGGAGAGAGAGAGAGAGAGAGAGAGAGAGAGAGAGAGAGAGAGGAAGAGCATCATACGCGATCTCTCTATAGAGAGAGCTAGATGCGCTATGACTCTCTCTCGCTCTATCTCTCGATATCTCTCTCCATCATGCTCCTAGCCTCCTCTCTCACTATCTCTCTCTCTCTCTCTCCTCTCTCTCTCATCTCTCTCTCTCTCTCTCATCTCCTCTCTCTCTCTCTCTCATCTCTCTCTCCTCTCTGCTCTCTACTCTTCTCTCTCTCTCTCTCGTCTGCTCTCTCCCTGAATGCCTGTCAGTTGGAGTGATGACATCATCGTGTTTCCATTACCAAGGTTTCGTTTCTAGATTGAGCTAACGACGCTCTGCTAGAGATCAAAGGTTTGCATTGTTCTGAATGAGAGATAAACCTCTTACATGTGAACGTTTTGTGGAAGAACCATAACAGATATCTGTGAAATTTCAAAACGTGAAGCATGTCAAGGAAGTTGAGTATCTGAAGTGTATTTTTGTGTACTTTCGGGTTAATAATGTGGCCTTTTTGGCAGTTTAACTAAAGGTGTGCGGCTGCTGCTGTGAGGAAATATCAGCCTGAAATTACAATGGGTTTTAATGGAGACATGTTGAAAGTTTTTGTCACTTCATGCCCTCAAGAGGCATTTTGTTTAATTATTTTGCTTAATTATTTGTCCTTTTTCAAGCTACGAGATGTTTTCCTACGTTTGTCATGAAACATTATGTCTCAGGAATGTAGGGTTTGGGAATTATGGCAGTTTTAAAAAAATATATGAAGGCAAATTTCAAGATTTGCTCCACTCTAGCTGTGACATCACTCACTCTAGTTAATGTTAAAATCTGAAGAAAACCTCTTTAACAAGGTCTGAACAATGTTTAATATCTCTAAAAGTAAGAATCAGATTTAAAAGTTGTGTTACACAAATAATATCAGAAAGATGTGTAACATTTTAAAGTTGGAATGAGGTTTCTGAGTGAAAGTATGAATGAACAGTTAGCAGTTGAAGTCGCATGAAGATTGTTCAAGTCTGAAGATTTTCTCCATTGACTTCAATGGTTAAAAATGTGATGAATTATGGGATGTATCTCTGGAATTATGAAAGTTATGAAAAATCCAAATGATAGCCATCGATTCCCGACCGAGCTGAACGTTTTGATGTTTGAACGGAGTTTCTGCGATGTTGAATGCAGGAGGAGAAGAGGTGCAAAATTCCGGCGGAATAATAATAATTTTGTCCGTAGAATAACATATAGTTGGAATGCTGTATCAGCATTCCCACTAAATGAGTGAGCCTCCGTACAGTAAGTGAAGGCAGACCTGCCTTGGCATACAGGGTACAGTGATGAGTAAGTGCTTTACAGTTAGTAACAAATCTCAGAGCACTGTGATAGGCGGCATCTAACTTTTCCAGGCAATGGGCAGGTGCATTCATATATATCAAATCACCATAGTCCAGCACAGGTCAAAAGGTCACAGAGCCTTTTCCTGGCCTCAAGCGAGAAACAGGACTTGTTTCTGAAAAATAAACCTAGTCTAACCCTCAGCTTTTTAAGCAGATTAATTACCTGCAGTTTAAAAGTAAGACAATCATCAAGCCAGATACCAAGGTATTTATAACAGGTAACCACTTTGAGTACTTGTCCTTGCGCAGTAACAATATCCAAAGCAGTCTCTGGAGTCTTTTTAGCTTTAGAAAAGAGCATTACCTTGGTTTTCTCAACATTTAAAAGAAGCTTAAGCTCAGCGAGCTGAGCCTGAATAATGTTAATAACAGCCTGTAATTTAACACCAGCCTCCTTAATGGAGGGACCTGCACAGTACATCACGGTATCATCCGCATAAAAATGTAAAGTAGCTTCATCCACATTTTCACCTAAACTGTTGATATATATGGAGAATAAAAGTGGACCTAAAACAGAACCTTGAGGAACACCATTAGTAATGTTTAACCACTCAGAAGACAGCCCATCAAAGTGAACACATTGGGACCTTTCAGAGAGGTAGTTCACAAACCACCCTACTGCATGGCTGGATATGCCAATACTGAGTAGCCTCTGCTTTAAGATGCGATGATCGACGGTATCAAACGCTTTGGAAAGGTCAATAAACAGAGCTGCACAACTCTGCTTATTATCTAAAATACTCGTAATGTCATTCACCACTTTCATTGTCGCAGTGATGGTGCTATGTTGCTTTCTGAAGCCTGACTGATGTTTAGACAGGATATCATTTTTACATAAAAACTCCTTTACTTGTTCACTCACTAGGCGTTCGAGCACCTTCACCAGAACTGACAATTTAGAGATTGGCCTATAGTTATTTAAAATAGTTGCCTCCCCTCCTTTTAGCAAAGGCAAGACATAAGCTGACTTCCATACTTTTGGAATTGTGTTTGTGCTGAGGGAGAGGTTAAAAAGAGAAGTGAGAGGTGGAGCAATAAAATCTGCAGCTATCTTTAAAAAGAAAGGTTCTACGTTGTCCGGGCCAGCCGGTTTCTTAGGATCTAACTTAGATAATGCTTCATGAACAACATTAACAGTAAAAGGAGTAAAACTGAAAGGGTTTTCCAGACCACATTGTTCAGAGTCACAGACTGTGGTGTTCACAGAAGCAGAGTTAGTCACCGAATCAAACATAGAACCGCAGGACACAAAATGCTTATTAAAGCAATTTAACATAGTAGCCCTGTCCGATATAGTGCCAGATGCTGTGGTAAGGCACGGAGGTAGCTCATTACGGATCTCACCGGTGGATATCGATTTTATGGCTTTCCAAAATTTCCTAGGATTATTTAGGTTTTCTGTGGTAACTGACAGATAGTACTTAGACTTAGCACTTTTGACAT